AAGGNCTGAATTTCTTGGTATTCTTCATTTGAGAGTTCTTGGAGTCCTTCTGTCGTCAGATCAGTTTCAGGATCCATTATGGTTTTCATGACTCTATTAGCAGCTTGAGACTTCCTGATATATCTTTCATAGCTAAGGTTGTGCCTATTGTAGACCTGTTCAAGCCATTCTGCCTAGCAATATTAGACATCTTGTGCCCACTTTCTACGTTGGCTATTATCTCTTGCTTGGTTTCTACGGTGAGCGCAGTTCTTGACACTCCTCTTTTTAGGTTCCATATTATCAGTTTCTTTTTTAAATAAAAAAAATTTTAGAAAAGCACTTACAAAAATTCAGAGAACAGAAATCAACTAGCCCACAAAAAATTATTTAAATGCAAGGCCCGGATGAAATTTGAAATTTGGTATTAAAATGTTAACAAATATCCGATGAGACAGTTTCACCTTTCATAAATAAACCCGATGCAAAACTTAACAAGTGCCAGTCCAACAGTCTGGCGAACACTATAAAAAATTATTTGTCGGAAAGGTAAACAAAAAGCTGGAATTACAAGGAAGAGTTTCAAAATTTGGAGGAATACTATCCGATCGGTATCGGGTTGACGTCGATGTTGACATCTCCCGCGCTCCGAAAGGTTTCGAATTGTTACCTGAAGACAAGGGAAAATCAATCGGTTTTCGTTATTTTCCTTCGCTTATTTTTATATTTGTTCAGTAAAGTGTTCGTTAACCGAACAAATTCATTGTCCGGTTCATAAAAATCTTTCCCGAAAGTGTTCGTTATCCGATTTGTTCGCTATCCGAACTGTTCGTTAACCGAACACCCACTGTAATTTTATTTGAAAATTTTTCCACAAAAGTCATTATATTTTAAACTAATTGATATAAAAATTAAACAAATTAACAATATAAAATATATTTTATTGTAAATTTTTATAATGGATTTAGATAACAGTAAAATCCTAAAGTTGGTACCTCTATATCCGGACACTCCTCTTAGTTCGCATCTTCATGCCTGGAGCCTTCTGAGTTGGCACCTTTATGCCTGGAGCCTTCTGAGTTGGCACCTCCATGCCTGGCTTATCTGAGTTAGTACTGTACTGTACTTCTATTCGTGCATCCCTCGAAATTAGACTTTTTAAAATTGGAACCTGCAAAAACCTAATGTCTAACTTAGGTTTTGTTATATTTGTAACTATTCTCTCTTCAAATTTCAATAGTTTAAACAATGTTTTTATTAATATTTTATATAAAATAACAACTTTATTTTCTCAGAGAATAGTTTTACACATGGTTCAGTATAATTATCTTATCACATTTCTTTATCTCTAAACTTTAACACACTCCAATAAGTCTCGATTCCACACTCGAAGAGAGAAACTTTTGAGAATTAGAAGAAAATATTTAATTCTTTTTTTATTTATTGTCTACATTTAGATGTAAAATTATTATAGGCTAGCCTCTAGAATAGGTTCCGCTTCCGATATGTCATGAACAATTCGTAACATGAAGAACTTATTGTGCCTTCAGGCTACAAATTGCATGATAGAAATAATAAATACAATGTATTGTTATCATGATTTCTATTGTTGGTCAGTCATTTCCTTGTATAGTACATTAATGTTTCATTTAATAGAACGTAATTCTGAAAAGAACAATTAAAGTTTCAGCTCTATTTTCATTTTAAATAACTCGTTTAATATTATAAATAACGTTTAAACTTAGTGACGTTTCTAGGCATAAGCAACAGATCTTTTAAGGGCCTCAGACAAACGCAAATATAAAATCGGGGCCGAGTTTTACCGGATTTAGAATTGTGGCCCTAAGCTGTAAATCATATAAGAGGTCCTTTCCGTTTACCAAATAATAATAAATTTAAAAGTGTAAGGCCTTAAACTGGGCTTTTGTGAAACAGGTTACGGATTAGGGCTTTATAAGGATATAGACGTACCCGGTATCGACGACATGGGTGGAAAGTAACTAGTCATTCAGAAATCGCTATAACTTTTGTAATAATAAGGCAATCGTAATAAAATGTATATGTACATCAATTGATGGAATTTGGTAATTCTTACATCGGTAGTATAGGCAGCTACCAAGAAGGGCTGCACGCGCAATGACAAAACAGATGGCCGTCCGTTTATGTGTTCAGGAGCGAACGTAGATTGCTGCATGCTATGAGGTATAAAAATCAGTTGTTGCTGTGCAGAGATGGTGGTGTACGATGAAGGAAAGTCATGCCACAACCAGTCTGGAAACAATCAAGAATTGTCATTCGAAGCTAGAATGGCCATGTTCAATTGTAGGCACAGAAGTGGACGTTCATCTATGTCACGATCCAAGGAAAACGTGCCGTTAGTAGATGGCGCCGGTACCTATTGAATTTAAAAATGTGCATCCGTATTTGTATTTAATGATGTAAGGGACAAACAATTTTCATCATTTTTGCTTTAGAAATATAGAAATTATTGCGATTTCAAAATGCCTAGTTACTTTCCACCCATTTTACAGTACAGTAAGTTTCTTAAGAGCCATAGCTTTGAAGATATGAGGTGGCTAAGCCCCTTAGCTTAGTCAGTAATGATCATATGCAGAATATATAATATATGCTTTCGCTTTCATCGTGTAAACTTAGATTTCTGTTACTTATTTTTACATTTAAACTGTAGCAAATAGGCCTACTGCTGGATGAAAAAAAAGAAAAATACCAGTCACATTTTTTTCATTTTGGTCCTCTATCCACCAGTGATTTATTTCTGACTACAGAACTGGCCGAGAGAGCCATGCCACTTACTTTATAAAGTCCAAGTGTAAAAATTCTATTACATTTTTAAATAAAAAACAGAAAAAATAAAAAGTTTTTCCCTTAATTCACAAGAAATGAAATGGAACGAATAATTTCTAATAAATATTTTTAAGGCCCCCACGAGATATGAGCAAAATAGCTCCGCTCTCCCTTGTGATCGGACCATTATGTCTAGAATCCAAGATCTTGTATTATATCAAGTATTCGTATCACACAACACAAGTTTACGTTATGTAAACTTACATAAAAGGGGCTTTCATGCCGCCCAGGCCTCGAATAGTAATGATTGTGCGGTTTTATATAAAAAGGTAATTATTAATTATTGAATATAAAGTACTGTGTTAATAGAGTACAGGAAATCCTTGTTAGTTACATATACCTTAATATGACAAATGCCACGTAACTGATGTAATTTATTAAGAAAACGGAGTACGGCCATGTATACAGAAAGGGCTATTTTCGTTAATTAATAATTAATAATAATAATAATATAAATAAACTGCAAGGAAACAGCAGGTTCCCAGCGAGAACCTCACAGGTCTCCAGATAAGTTTTATAAGCAGGATTCCTTGAAATGTAGCCCAAATTATTTTTAAAGTAGTAAGTCGCGCAAACGTAGTATCCTAGAATCCTATAAATATCTCAATGTAATCCCGAAACCCAGCCACATTTTATGAAATAAGAGAAAAAAAGAGGTAGTCCATGGATAGGGTGACACCCGAAAATGTGTTACTGTAAAAGCAATGCCATATTGACCAGATTAGAGTTGTTCTTATAGAGGCACTTGGATGTAAACGAACAAATTAACATAGGCATGTCACAGTTCGGGCAGAATTTCCACTTCGAATTACGAACTAACCGAATTACTTAACGTGTAAATCTCTACATCCCAGGCAGGGACAAAAGTACAGTTACGAACTAACGGGATTTCGAACTATCCGAGTTCGAATTAACGAGGATTTCCTGTATACTTAGAGGATATAGAATTAAATATGTCACTTATGTGTATATATTTATATACAGCACCTGAAAGATGAGAAGAGATCCTACTCACAAGTATAGGGCCCAATCTTTGTGAAATCTATTAAAAAAATATACGAATAAAACAAATTTTTAAATAGAAATGTTCGCTTATGTATTTATCTTTTCGTCCTTTTATGTATAAAGGACAAAATTTTGGAGGTTCTTATATATTTAGGACATGTGCCGAATGACCCTGCTGTTCCTCCTCTATGCGGGTCTGTATGTAACTTATATTTTTTATAATGAAAGAAAAAACATAATGTGAATTTTAATTAAAATTATAGATCTAATCTAGATCTTTTTATAGAGACAATGCCTTTCTATAGCTTTAAAATGAACGTTAAACATTATTATAGGCCCTAAATAATCACTCTTGCACGTAAATAATGATATTTCTATACAAAAGAAAATGATAATTTATCTTTTTTTTTTTTTTATGTAAAGGAAACAATAATAATGTGTTCTTTAAATGAATTTATATTATTTAAATTATATTATATGGTTAATGCGTGAGGAATTTGTGGATTTTTATTATTGATTTAAATACCAATTCATGGTAATTATAGTTTATAAACTGCATCAGTTATGCAATTAATAACGTAAATAATATAATGGTTCGACATTTCAACACTTTATGCAATTTATTAATTACATACATCTGTTAAAATGTTGCATTTAAGCTATGTAAAAAGCCATCAGCTAAGTAAACCATGTGAACAGTTTCATATATTCGGCTAATTTATTCAATAAATAGCTTAAACTGTTGTATAATTTACACTAGCAAGTAAGCCCGGTGTTGCCCAGGCAAAAAAGTAAGTACAAACATTAAGATTATTAGATTATTTCGTACTTCTAATTCTATTATATTACAGTAGGTATTTGATATATATAAATAACTACAAAGGTTAGCTTACGTAAGAGTTTATCACACCGAGTGTCCAATCTAACACATTTTAAAATTCTTTAAATTGTGTACAGTAGAGGAATAAAGAAAAGCATTTACTGTCAACTTCCACACAGGAAAATGCTATGTGCTACCTGTCTCAGTAATGATATATTATATTCACTTGTGTCAATGATGCGTCTATTTTGCGCTATATCATTGTCGAAGTAATTAAGTGAATATAATATATATTTTTAAAAATTATATAATTTTTTATAAGAATTATAAAAATATNTGCTGTCATGCTTTGAATTTCGTTCTCGCATCTCTCACCTTCATAGCCAATTAAACAGCTAAAAAAACAAAAACTGTTGGCAACAAAAAGAAACCAAGGCAAGAAAAAAAAAAGCAAGCGCCGAGAACTTACTTGCATTGTTTAGTCGTTCCTACGATTTCGCATGATCCTTCGTTGTAGCAGTAATCGGGCGTGCAAGTTTCTATTGGAGGGGAAACCACGCTTATTAAAACTTGCTAATCCACTTATTAAAGTTCAGTTTTATAGCTTACCTTCACATCGGCCAGATACTAGATTGAAGCCATCACTACATTTGCACACACGATTGTTGGGTATTAGCAGACAAAGTTGGTCACAAGGACTTTGTTCACAAGGATTGCGAACTGCAAAATAAAGTGTTTAGACAAAATCTAGGTCAAAGAATAAAATGGAATATTTACCTCTTCGACGAAGCACAGGATGAAAAACAAGCAGTTGCCGCACTATGCTCCCACTCTGAGCGATGATGAGTGGATGTTCACAATTGAATTTGTTGCACCTGTAAATATGAGTCACCTCCCATTCAGACCAGTATAAGTAATCCTCGAACAATGACAGAGCGAAAGGAAGCTTTGCTTTCGAGGTCACAATCCGTCTGAAAACGAAAAAAAAAACTTTTAAATTCTTTTCCTACAAATTAAGAGTTAGTTAAAAAGAATTAACTTACAATTTGTCTCCGTTATAATCGACAGAAGAGATTACATCACGTTTAAATTCCACCCAGTATATGTGTTTTAACATTCTATCTACGGCAATGGCAGAGGGATTCACTACTTTGTGAGAAACTATTTCCCGATATTTGCTTCCATCCATATCCATTCTACTTATTGCATTAACAAGACCAATGAACATTATTCTGCAAAAACAATAAAAGTTAAGAAAAACGTCTTTACTTGCAAAAGTCTTGCTTTAAAAAAGTCTTACCCGTCGGTAGGCACGAGCGTGAACGTATTGATGTTTTCACCATCTAAGATTGTGGCGCAATAAGCTTTGTTGTTACAAACATGTATCGCGTAATCACAAACGTAGTAATAATTCAGTCCAACCCAATCGTAGGCTACTAGAATCACATTGTCCGAAGTATTAAGTAGTACGCCCATCGTAAGGTTTTTCAGGGAAAAATACATGATGGATTCCTGTCAAAAAAAAAAGTAGTAAATAAATTTAAGCGCACAAGCTCCAACATTCTTTCCGGAATTATTGGATCTACCACCTTTTCTGCATCACCCCAAATGATTACACTGTCGTCTTCTGAGTCTACGAAATCCATTCCCTTAATGTTGTGTATGTCCTTAACTAAGATGCTTTCGTGGTGATGCATCAAGTCTATAGATCTAATATCATTCCGAACTAACATAAACAACACCAAGATGCCTCCTGAAATGAAATAGGAATATTTACTCTTATGGAATTGAAAATCATATTAAAAATGCTATACCGATAGCTTTGCATTGTCCATTGTGTTGCAGCGAGTAGCCTTCGTAGCACGCGCACATGTAACTGCCTTTTGTATTAAGGCAGAACTGGCTACAAGAACCCAGTTGCTGACATTCGTCGACATCCGAACAGGACATTTTATCGGCGCCTAACTCGAAACCTTCATGACATTGACAGAATGGTCCTTCTGGTCCATGAACACAAATGTGGGCGCATCCATGGTTGTTCGAACCACACGTGTCCTTACAGTGATCTCCCTCGTCCGAGAAATCGTAACAATCTGCTTTTCCGTCACAAACTCTATCCAGGGTAATGCATGTACCGGACTGGCACCTAAACATGGTTTCTGGACAGGAAGAAACTAAAAAAACAATGATTAAGCTTCAGTCAACGTTACATGGTATGACATTAGAAAAAAAGTGTGAAGAGGTAAAGTTCTTACATTTTAAGGGACTCAAAGTAGTAGTAGTTGCTGTTGTATGATGACATTGGGGAAGATCTTCGTCACTTCCGTCTGCGCAATCCGGGGAACCATCGCATTGCCAAGACAAAGGAATGCACTCACCCGAGTGACAAGAAAATTCAAACTTTTCGCATTTTACGGCTGCAAAATGACAGAATAAAATTTGCAGCAAGCACGCGAAAGGGAGGTCCAGAGCAAAAGGGAAGAGATTAAAACTTACCGCAATCAAGTTCATCATCGCCATCAGGGCAGTCTTTTATTTTGTCACACCTATCTCTTTGATAAATACATGTTTTACCATCTTGGCATTTAAACTTGCCTTTCGGACAGCCGTGACCTGTGTTTATAAAATCAAAAATCATTTTATTATTAACGTCAAAATGGTAAACTGCGCTAAATACTTACTGCAATTAGTTTCATCTTCTCCGAGAAGACAGTCATTGAAGGTGTCGCAGACCAAACTTTTAGGAATGCATAGATCATCTTCACATCGGAACTCATCAGCATTACATGTCATGGCCTTGCCTAAAATCAAGAAAAGTTTAAAATACAATTGTCATGAGCACACGAAAACAAAATCCTTACTGCAATTGTCTTCATCCGTATTATCGAAACAATCTTTTTCGCCATCACATTTCCAACTGTCCGGAATACACTGGCCGCTGTTGCAACGCACCATATCATGAGGACACTGACGACTAGCGCAATAAGTCACATTTTCATCATCTCCGTCAGGACAGTTTGGGGTAAGATCACACAGCAACTCGGGAGGAACGCAAGAGCCATTCTTACACCGAACGTGTGTGGGAGGACAGTAAGCAGGCGGAATCTGCTTTGTAGAGGCTAAGGACGGGCAGGATTAGAAATTCCTCAGGAGGAATGAATGAATTTAAAAAAAAAACACCTACCACAATTTTCTTCATCAGAATTATCTTCACAATCATTAGTACCGTCACACCGCCATCCTATATTAATGCATCTCCCGTTGGCACAACGAAAGTCGCCACTCCCACACGTTAACGCTGTTTAAAATTTAAAAAACGTTTACAACAATAATTTTGATCAGGACTTTAGCCAAAAAATTCCAGAAAAATACTCACGACAATCTACTTCATCAGTACCATCCAGACAATCCGTTCTTCCGTCACATTTCTTATCCTTTGCTATGCATTTTCCATTCCCACACCGGAAAGATGTCGAAGAGCAGTTAGCAACAACTGCAAAAGAAACGGCACAGTAAAGAAAAAACTTCTCTTGCATTATAACAATTGAAAAACCACCCTCACCTTCGCAAGAGCGTTTGTCACTAGACAACGTGAAGCCAGTTCGACAAGAGCAAACGTAACCAGAAGGTGAAAGAAGACATAGCTGAGTACATCTTGAAGCGGCACAAGTTCCTTCTGTAAAATGGAAAGTTTAGACCGAAATCTCTGCCCGAGAAGAGAACCTCGCTAAGCTACTTACTCTTGGTAATTAGTGGGTTGACGTAGACTAGTTTTCTATTTACGTGCAGTTTCTCTTGATTGCCATAAATTACGGTTTTAGGATTCAAATTTTTGGTCACAAAATTTAATGCACGATGTTCTCCATCCAACCAAAATATATTTCGGTCATCGACTGCGATAGATATGACGTGACCAGTATTGAGAACTGCGATTTTGGAACTGGAAGGAAAAAAGTTTTATATTGATATCTGATTTCATAATTTTTAAATTATGAGATTGACCATCAGTTACCTGCTTTCGGGCTCAAGTTCCCTCATTAAGATTCTTTCCCCAAATGTATCGGCCCAATATAGTCTGTTGCCACTCCTATCGACGAAGACAGACATGTAGAAACCGTCAGCTTTGTTAATTTTTCTTCGATTTTCGCCAGTCATATCGAACAAGAGCACCTGCGATTCGTGTCCCAAGACAGCTACAAACATTAGGCTGTAGACAGAACAGTACTTTTAAAACCAAGAATGAAAGCATAAAAAGTTACGGTTAGGTGTTCTTAAACCCACCCTTTTTCTGGATGCAGCGAGATGTCAATGGGTCTCGTTAATCCACCAACGAGGGTTTTCCTGAACGATCCATTTCTCGCAACCACCTCTATCGTGCCTTTGTCACCATCGGTCCAAAAGATATTTCCACCTTCATAGTCGTAGTCGAGTCCAGTTATTTCGGATATAGCACCCTCAATAACAACCCTTGGGGAGGGAAAATTTTAGTTCAAGTCTTCTTAAGGTGGTTTAGCAAAGACCAAAAAAGACTTACTTTTTACTGTAATTGGCTACATGCACTGCAGATATCCTTTGCTTTTCGTTCTCTCCTATATACAACACTCTGGTTTCTGGATCGTATGTCAAATCAGCTACAGGACCTGTCACAACAGGAACTGGGAAAGGTTTGTTGTTATTCGCAGCTTTAGTTGCTATTTGATAGATATCTCTGTCTTCTATCAGATATAAACGGGGAGCATCCAAGTCAACTGGCAGGAGGGAGAAAAGTTAAAAAATTCTTTAAAGTTGAACTGTAGAAAAAGATTATATATAATCTTACCGAGACAAGTTCTCCCGTCAGAAGATAAGAAGAATCCTTTAATACAAGCGCAAGTATAACCTCCTCCAGGAGCTATGAGGCACAAATGACTGCAGGCACTCGTTCTGCACGGGTTGTTAACTGGAAAAAAAAAAGGAGGGAAAGTTAAATGTCGCAAAAATTGTGGTTTCTTAAGGGCTGCGGAATTAATTACAGTTCCCATAGAGGACAGGATGTACTACGGTGACAGTTCCAAAGGGTGTGTTAACATCCTTATGGAGGATGATGTGGTTTTTGCCTGTAAATTTATTACATCTTTCTATTGAGAATTTCTCCCAGTCAGTCCAATATATGTAATCTTCGAAAACAGCGATTGAATGAGGGCGAAATATTCTACTGTGAACAATTTTCTAAAAGAAAAAAAATTTGCTTGACGTTCACGTTGACAATTAAAAAAAAAAAGAGGGCTGAAGTTACCTTTCTATGTAATCCATTCAAGTTTATCCTGCTTATAGACATATCTTTACCATCAGTCCAATATAACATGTTGCCAACTTTATCCAATGCTAAACCATTCGGCCAAATTAGGTGTTTTGAAACAAAAAGTGTCTTCTGACTCCCGTCCATGCCTTGTTTGTAGATTGCAGCATCTGTCCCCCATGCACTCCAGTACATGAACCTGAAAATATAAATTAAAATCACGACATTATTTTTCACGATAGGAGGAAGAGAAAGAAAAGAAAGAATCTTACCCGGAAGAAGGATCCAAAACTAGGGCTCTGGGATTTGTAATGTTTTCAACGAGTACTAGACATAATTCGGCTTTCAATTTGCATACTATAATTGATCCCAGATCATGATCAACTATATAGATGTTTCTAGCTACCCAGTCTATTCTGATATCTTGAGGATTTTCCAAACCTAAAAAAAAAAAAAAAAAAAAATCAATCACAAAGGATTCCTGAGTGGAGGGTCTCAATGAAACCATGATTTTTGTTGGATATAAAAACCTTACCTATGGAGACTTCGTTTCTAATATCGTCAGAAGATCTGATATTTACGGAAACAATAGAAGCATTTTTTTGGGGTCCACTTTTCGTCCAATATACTCTATTCTCTACTATGTCGAAATCCAGGCCAAAAGTCGAACTTCCATGGTGAATTATGGGAAATTTATATGCATTTCTCAACGGTAGAGCGACAATACTAATAGAATCGCTGAATATTAAGAGTGGATCTTCGCCTGTTGAAAAGTTAAAAAAAATTTTAGGGTTTCCCATGTAAGGAAGGAAGGAAGGAGGAGAGGTGATGTCTTACCTAAAGCAAGGCAAATGTTGTTGACAGGGGAATAACCGTCGTAACAACTACAGACAGCGCCTCCAGGCTTGTTTTCGCATTTCTGACTGCAATAGCCTTCTACTCGACATTCGTCTATATCTAAAAAAAAAAAAAAAATGAAAGTAGTTGGGTAACGAGCACTTAGAATTATCTAAAAAGGGAAACAGTTTCTTTTTACCTAGACAAGTCTTATTGTCTTTGTGTAAGTGAAAGCCAGGATTACAGTAACAAGCAGGACCTTCCGGGGTTCTCATACATTTTTGAGAGCATCTGTGTTTTGCACAAGTATAATCTAAGTAATAAAAAAAAAAGTTATTCTTAGTCTGAGGAGGAGGAAAGAAGGGCAGTAGAAAAATTTACTGCAGTGGGATCCTTCCTCTTCTCCATTGGGACAGTCTGTTTTATTGTCACACACCAACTTTGGATCTAAGCAAGTTCCGTTTCCACACAAGAAGTGACCTTTAGACACTAAACAAGTCGAGGCGATTTTGGCAGTAGTAGTGTCTAGAAGAAAGATGCATGTAGTTACTTTCAGGTTTTAAAAAGTTTACCTAACTACGGGAGGGGAAGTTACTTTTGCACTCGTGTTCATCAGAACCATCTTTGCAGTCTTGAGATCCATCACAGACCCATCTGGGAGGAATGCATTCCATGGACTTGCATAGAAAACCGTCGCAACTGTTATTGCTGCCACCAACATCTGAAATAAGACAAGAGAGTTGTTAAAAATAAGATAAATACTCTTAACACCACCACCACTCCTTCCCCCAAAATACCGCAGTTCTTTTCATCGGAACCATCTTCACAATCCTCGTTGCCATCACACTGCCATTTGAGAGGAAGACAGTAGCTGCTATCATGACAGTGAAATTTGTCATCAGGACAAGTCGGAACGATAGCTTTCGTCCCTAGAATAAACATAAGGAGAAAACCTTTGTAGAAAGATAGGAGAGGGAAAAAAAACCATACATTCAACACTGAATTCATACCACAATCTTCTTCATCTTTGTTATTTCCGCAATCGTTTTGCCCATCGCATACAAATATATGCGGTATACACACGCCATTCCCGCAATCAACCCAGTTCAATGGGCATTCTATTGAAAAAAAATCCACAATTAAACGAATTATAAGATTCTTCTACAATTCTTCACTTACCTTTTTGACTGGAAACAACACTCGAAAACGAAAGAACAATTAACCAGACAATAAGACATTGCAAATTCCGTATATTTACTCCAATCCCCATTGTAACTCAACAGTCGACGAAGTGATATTGTAACTACCGAGTCACAGACAATCCCTTTTATACATTTCATCGAGTAATCCCATTCGTTGTTCCATAAAAAAAATTATATATTTTTTAATTGTTTAAAACGATTTAATATATAAAAATAAATAATTTTTAAAATTAATATTTTAATCTAAATAGATTTTTACTTGAAAATGTTCATTTTTTTTCTAAATTTCAATTTTATCAGATTTCTTATGGGAGTTTATGCAAATTAGCAGTTTCTGGGCGTTTTTTTTTCTTTTTTATTTGTTTTTTGAAATTAGCAACTAATTTGAGTATTAAATAAATATGTGGAACGATAGTAAATATTTATTTACGAAATAATAATGGTAATAAGTTCATAAATTCCGAAAATAAACGTAAATTTAATATCTATATATTAATAATGGAACCAGGTTTCAATTTGTTCGACTTAGTTTGGCTTAATGGCTTGGGCTAAAAATACGATTCGGGCATTAAATTAAAGCTCTTATTATGTAAATGATGCCGCTGAAGAGAGGTTAGAGAAACGCGCGATGGTTCGGGCGTGGCGAAGTGTCAAATGTACTGTACAATGTTAAGTCTATGGACAAACATATCGGGGTGCCACCTCTCTATTAACTCCAAAAAATCCATGGATTTTTCGGAGATGATCTATCCCGATAAGTCAGGCTCTTGTCCCTTACCCGGCAGCCCCGTTGTGGGCCTTTCCTAACTCATAATGGGCACGCTAAAAGAGGCTCTCTTAGTATTCACAGGGCGGAAAGAATTAAAAAAGTAAACCAGGTCGCCTCATTGTGGGTGATTTTAGCCTGAAAAATTGTTTTTTGTGTTTTGTAGTTTCATTATTGTAAATACTGAGGTCAATAAATGTACATTTTAGATACTAACACTATTGTTTTTATCATTCTTTCCCAATTCAATCTCATAATCTCCTCAGAAGCACGAGCAATGCCGGGCATAGGCAGCTAGTTTGGTATAAACTCTATAATATTCTGAAAAGTAATTGATTGCAGAATACACACTGTAGATAATTCCGTGTTATATGAATTCCATGTTGTACGAGTCACTTAGATTTTACAAATACGTGTGCCGGGCTGTGAACGGCTCACGTATTTGTAAAATCTAAGTGACTCGTACAACATGGAATTCATATAACACGGAGTTATCTACAGTGTTATAGGGGGTCTACTGTATATAAGAAGAATCGTAAGAAAAAAACACATGTATGGTTTATGCTTAGGCTTCATAATGATCCTAATACATTGTACAGTACTTATGTCTCTGGGGGAACCGGAATCGAATGCTGTCGGGTCAAAAATCATTGAATTTTTCCAGAGATGATCGGGCCCTTGTTTCTTACCCCTGTGGGCCTGGCCGAACCCATAATGGGCTTGCCCTCATAGTACCCACAATGAGGAAAGAGTTAAAAACAAAATCCGGCAACCATATTGTAAGCTCGACCGAACGCATAATTTAAAAAAATAATAATAATTTAGTGCTGCCATCTGTGAGTGATGCGACACGTAACTAAACCAATTTACACTTAAAAATACGACAATTTTAAACTTAAACGATTTATTGTTTTTTTACGATTTGCCAATTTAAAATGACAATTTTAATAAATAAAAGTGGAAAAACACGACCTTGATCGTCCGATACAAATCTCTCCCACTCTTAATGCATGTCCGGTTATCCTTATATGGCCTTCATACATTTGACCTTATATGGCCACTGTTTACATAAACGCCTCTTTATCTTAACCCTTACCTTATTATGTAATGAATACCTCATTTAATTAATTAATAAATCACGATTAATCAGTTTAAAAAAATCCTTTTTCGTAGTAAATCTAAAGGGCAAATTACTGTAAGGATGATGAATTTGGATGATGGATATACGAACGTGACGTAATTTAGGATGATTTAAGAATGGTATTTTCTATAAAATGAGTGGGTAATAAACTTGTCTACCCGTACTTTTTTTTTATTCTTAATATTGAAGTTACGTCATTGGGGTGTGGGTATGTGGACTCGCGACTCGACAGCTCGACCTGAATACCTATTTTATCTGCGAGTTAAGTAGAAACATCATGGAAGAAGCCATGATTAAACAGAAAATAGACGAACTCTTCGATGATCAGAGGCCCTATCATTACGTACAGATACAGCAGAGGGTTTCTCCTACTTCGTTTAAATCTTCTTCACCTGTACACGTAAGTAATTTATGTACAAATTAAGGGTATTGTTTACGCGTTAGAAACTCGTATACATCAAACCATATGGGGTAGTATGATGACTTGTTTATATTATTTACTGACCTTTCTGAGTTTTAGGCCTATATTTTGCAAGATTCGGTGTTTATATAAATCAATTACTGTTACATTCTTACCGTAATAGTTGTGAACGAGGGCCCTACACACCTGTTTTATTATATATAGATGGGAGAAACGTGTAATGTGAATGTTATCATATTATTAGTATATTTTTTGTGGCTTTCGGAGATGGGTGAGGGCCCTGTTTTATATTTTTCTCGGGCCCTCAGTTTAATTATTTTATATATTATAAACTGTGTTCTTGTTACGTTGTTTAATTGTTTCTGTAATTGACTATGTTGCGAGCTTAGTAAATAATTTTAATCGTACACAAGGCCCTATAATTGTAAAACAATAGAAATCTACTATCGTTTATAAATATATAATGGCATTAGATTTCAACACGAGCTTAGGGAGGATACATTAAGTCACAAATGCGAGGCTTCCTCTCGTTCTCTCGTTCCTTAAAGGCCTCCTCGGGGTATATTTGAGGAGGTCTTTAAATAGTAAAAACAACTAAATTTTAATCTATATTATATTTGTTTACGTAAAAGATTAAATGAAGTCTTTGCTTTAGATTCGTCCTTTATCCAGCGGCGCGTTATAGCTTCGTCAGGCCCAGTCAAACTTGTATTAGGAGGCCCCATGTACAGTATAGTGTTGACTTCAGACATTTTTCTTCGAGGGAATTTTTTGGGAAAATATTTTCTTGTAAAAGATTGGTTTGGGGCACCCTGTTGATGAGGGGCCCCGGCAATTGCCCTTTTTTTGCCAATAGGATAACGCACCACTGCCTTTATTCTGCTCTATTTATATTATTTAATATCAATCAGGGTTGCCAAGAACTTGTTCGGGGTCTGGAGATGAAGGGCCCCTCTTCGCCTTAGCGGGCCCCTTTACTAATAGTTTTTTTAAACAAGTTTTACATCCCTTATCAAAAAGAAATTAATTTATATCATTTTCATATCCTATTTAAACAAAAAATAAATAAATTTTGGGGACCTTTGTGACCAAGATAACCAGATATAGAGGGGCCCAGAGTTTAGTTGTCAAGGGATAGGAGGGATTTTTTTTACATATTAAAATCATTTTTTATATTAATTTCATTATGATTTTAAAGAGAGAGATGCGAAGATGAAGACCAGGAGGCCCTTCCTCTTCACATCTCTTCCTCAAAAGAAAGAAACGGGAGTATATTTGTATAGCTTAGGAAAGGGCCGCATGTTTTTGATTGACTCGAGACCTTATATAAATATAAATACGTGGCAAAATATATTCTGAATAATGCGTACAATGTAAATAATTATACGAATTTACCCGTTAAGAGCAGAAATTAAAATATAATGCGTTGTTCCACCAACAGATGGAGCCTAATGTAAATAATCATCTGGAAAGATGGCGACTAAACATTAATATTTTTATTTAAAAAAAATCATAAATAAATAAAAATAAAACTAATTTATTATCACTAAAATATTACTTTTTGAAATGTTAATTAATAAATTTAATTAATAATTAAAAAAAAGTGTCCAGAGCATTGGCTTAATCCTTAATTACTAAGAGGCCCGGGCATGATCAGATGAGGCCCGACACACTTTCAAATATGGATTTTCCTCTTTCAGAGAAGAGCCCATATTTCAGAGTGTCGAGTTCTTTTACATAACAAAAAAAAACATAAAATTTTACTCTCTAGGGCCTAGTCTAAGTGGCCCTAATTGGCACTCCTTTATCTTATAAGCTTGATTATAATTATTATTATAAAGAAATATGAGATTTAATACTTATAATTCGACTTTTAATAGTAATAATAATAATAATTACGATTTTAATTTCTGTTTGTATGGAGGCCTAATTTTGTTGGCCCACTTTAAAGCTTAATAACTCACGTGCTTTTTGTCGAAAATTTCTGAAATTTTACAGGGAAATTTGTACATTAGAGCCATTGATACTGTTAAATTTTGGTGGTTAAAGGTCGACGGGGTGGAGAGATAAATGGGATCACGTGTCATATCTCGAGTGAGACTTAATGACGATTTTATTCGTTATTAGCTTTTTTTTTAAATTCGTCTTTACAGTTAAAATTAAGCTTTTGTTATGTTATAATAATATTTTTAAAAAAAATTTAAATAAATTTTACCAACAGATGGCGCCAGACACAATTTTAAAGTTTGGCAAGAAAGTCACGCAACTCGAATTTTTTTTTTTAATTAAATAAAAATTAAAAAAAAAATTATATTAAACACCTTTTTACACGTTTTACTGATCGATTAAATGCTTTTATAAATCCCAATTCTATTAAATAATTGTTATTTTATGTTGTTAGATATAAACGGATCGGTGCAAAAGTCAGTTAACCGAGTAGGTTGACTTTACACTGTCTAGGTTAACTGACTTTTGCGCCACCCCAACTTTTATTTTTAAAAAAAATTCACCAGGGTTTATCACGGTACTGTATTGGCACGCGTGAACGACACGTGACTCACGTTTCGCTTGATTTATCTAGCATGTTGCGTGAGGAAGAGAAATTTTTAAATTATATATATATATATATATATACATATATATTTAATTTTTATAAAGTTTAATTCATAATTTATATTTTGTTTTGCTTTATTTTAAAGTTATAACGTTAAATCTGAGACAATGGCCAAGTGTTGTAACTCGCATTGGATATACCCAGCGGTGCCCCACCTAACGATAAAAAGGAAGTTCAAAACGAAAAGTTGACATCCTGTTGTCGTGTAAAACGTTTCTATTTATTAAATAAAAAAATCTATTTTTCTATTAATAACTATTTTTTTCCATTGAAGACGGTTAGATTTAGGAAACAAGAGCGCTTACAAACGAGTAATGGAGCGTGCTTTTTTACGCTGGAGCAATTTCCAAGTTCGTCACATTCAGTTTGCTTAAATTTCTTTTTTTTTTTCTAATTCTACGTCCTATTCTCGTGGCCCTTTTAGGCATATATTTCGTGTCTAAGGCCTCGCGCGTTTAACACGCGAGCGCGAGGCCTCTAGCAGCCTACTAGGAATCAAGTGCTAGGCATTATATAAAAAAGGCAATACTCGAAAAGGCCCTTACATTAAGTGTGATTAATTAAACACGCGAATAAAATCCTGAAAATTCCACGTGCCGCGAACACCTCTTGTTTAGTGGGTTTTATTCACTGGCCTCTAAGATTTTGACTGAGGCCTCACTTCACAATATCGAGTAATATTCGTGATAGGACTCATATAAACTTATTACAAGAAGATACTCGTAAGATTCAGTCGGTGTTAGGGCTTGAGGAAATAGAAATGTCGGGCACCCTCCCTCTTCAAAAGGCATAATTTGGATCTCATTACTTCCGAGCCTTTCTGTTATGCTTTTCGTGTGGCAATCGTCGTCCGAATTTGGTTTTAATAAGCAATCATTTTCCGTTGTTGAGTAACTTTTAACAATTTTAATAACTTTTTATCGACTTATTTGTTAACATGGTTGAACGCCTTTCGAAATTATGGTCTATTGTTAGTAATTGCTTTCCTTTATTTTTCTATTCTTTGACGTTTCTCTATTAAATGAGTGATTAAGATTCGAACTAATTATCCATAACTGTTACTTGAATGTATAATTTTGTTCGTGTTAACTCTTTCATATTTTTATAAAATTTCGAAGTTTTGCATCAAAGAACAGTGAAAATGCTTTATTTTTCTTTGATTTTTTTAAAGTTTTTTTCATAATTTTACTAAATAATGTATTATCTTTTAAACGGCAATTCAATCTGTCTCCCTATTTAGCAGATTGCCCATTTCTAAAGCCCTATTTACGTGTTAGAAACCTTTAAAGCTACAAGTACCGGACGTTTAGTGGTTTTATCTACTCCCCTCTGATGGGCCCTAGGGCCTCACGAGTAGAAATAAATGAAAAGCATCCTTCATTAAGCCTACGTTAAGTTACATTCGCGTGGAATTTTTTCTGTAACGTATATATTTTAGCTTACTTTATACCATTTATTATTATTTTTATAAAGATATTACATAATTGATAGTTATTTATGTGTTCTTAAACATAGATTTAAGCGCTAAGCGTGGGTCGCCCGGTGGGAAGATGATGGCAGTTACGCCCTTGTATCGTTGTTATCGAATTTATTGATGATTTTATTAACTTCTACCATAAAATATCTATTTTTTTTCGAAGAATTAAAGGTTAAATCTGTGTTAAAATATAGAATACAGTAACAGAAATTCCTTCACTTACATCACTCACTGCTTCGAGTGATGCCATTGCATTAGTTTTGAAACTATTGATGATTTTAACTTTTATGGTTATAATTTCCCAATTTATTAAAGAATTAAAGTTAAATTCATATTAAAATATAGAAAAATATACATTTTATTCATTTAATAACAGGAGTATTTCTAGTTTCCAACACTTACGCCACTACTTTCACTTTAATGGCGCAATCGTGTTATTTTCGACACGTTATCCCTGATCTTTAATTAATTTAAAGGTTATTATCCATAAATAAATGAAAATTTATTTAGATTTCCGCCCTTTAAACTTGAATATTTGAATAAATATTTACTAATCTGAAGTTTAAAATCAACATTTGATTCATACAGATTGCGTTAGAATGGTTTTCTCAATGTTTCTATCACGAAATCGAATCATGTAATCGTTCAAATCACCATGTTTAAACTTCGCATACCTCTACTTAATCGGCATAATTATTAATTGCAAAATATCCTTCCTTTTAGGGAATAAACCGAGTTAACCTTGAATTCGGATACAAAGATATTCGTTAGGGAATAATCTTTCCAGATTATTCCCTAACGAATAGGGAATAATCTGGATGACTTTTCCCTAAAGGTTACTCTACCTCCAAATTTATCCCCCATTTTATTCCCTTTATTAACTCCAAA